AAATATAAATATAAATATATAAATACATAAAGTGATGTTCAGCTACAGGCTGCATTTGCTCATTGAGGCAGCTCTTTCAAAAAGGAGACAATGAACATAGGAGCATTTGAGTTTCCCTCAGGACTTTAAATCCATTAGCAGCTACATTCTCAATCTCAGATTGGCAAAGCTATTGCTGACACACATTATTAAGCAGGCACTGAAAAAAAGGGTGCATAACTCCTGGCACTAGTGATAAATCTGGATATACTGAAAAAAACCTGATAATTTCAAGATGCATAACTTTTGTTTGCAATTATCTGTTCACATTTTGCCTGAATAACCAATTCTATCAGATGCCAGCCAGAAAAATTACCTGTAACCCTTCAGAAGTAGTTCTTTCAGTTTATATGTTTGGCTAAGAGCTGATTGTGAGAATTATTTATTCAAATAAAATCTCTCCATGCCTTCTAAAAGATAGGCATGACTCTTCATTTCATATTTAGTTTAATTTCATAGAAGTTCAGTATTTTATTCTGAGCACAACTATGGAACTAAAGCTTCTTTATTTCCTATCTGGAAAATAAGGTTAAAGGCCACTTTCTTGTTGTAGAAATTAGCTCCATTCACACATCATATCAAATCACGATTTCTTTTACCATAACCTAGAGCTAGTTTGTAGCAAGATAATCATGCTTTTTTATTTGCTTCTGGTTTGTTTTGCTATCCTTTCAATTGCTCTTGCTTTGGATGAAATAGAAGCAAAAACAAATCATGGTGAGCCAGAAGACCACAAATAAACCATGGTTCCCCACATCATGTAAGTCACAACACAACAACAATCTGTTATTTATTACCCTAAAAGAAAACATGCTTTATTTACCTGTCTTGCTTGCACATAATGCTAACCCAGAAACAAATAAATCACTCTGTGGCTTAGTGCAATCTGTGAACCCAGACTTTATCATCCTGATGCCCTCTAAATGCATTATCTCATTAGATCCATCCAGTATATGGAAGTTGTAGTCTGACCGATTGGAGGGTGCCAGATCAGGGGAGGCTGCCTTGTATTATTACAATGTTTCCAACAAGGTATGTACCAACATGGCTTCCAATCTGTCAAGACCATTTATTCTAATTGTAATGCAAATAACCTCTCTTGTCCATCACCCAATGGTTTTGCAGAACTGAATGCATTTCCATTAATGTGCAGTTCATCACTCTGCTCAGCCAGCTTGATTAGATCAGTCCTATCCTACTGGAATACAGGCACACACACACAGTGCTTGCTACACATGTAGGCGGGGGAAAACAGTCAAACCTTTGACTTTTTGTTGTGGCTGGTCTGAGCATGAATTCCATCCAGCCCAATATTCTTACCAAAGCCTCTGGCAATTCATCAACCCACTGAGAAGTAATATGCAATACTTTTATGTAAATCTTAAACATTTAATATACTGTACATTTAATATTTTGCCTCACCACCTCCATCCAAAAGAAGACTCTGCTGCTCACCTGAGTTCCACAATCCAGCAGTCGAATAGATTTATCATTCACCTGCAGCAGCATTTCTTGTGCCCAGATCTTCTCTTTGGAGTTTAGCTGTTTGAGCTTCCTGATGGCATCATCCACGGTTACAATGGCCTCACTTTTATCCATAACGAAGGTAGCCAAGTGCTGGAAAGGGGGAAAACACCCCAAAGGGTCAGACAGAAGGGACTAGAAACAATTTAACTCCAGTTTTTGATTGTATTCATGGAATGCATGTGTGCTCATACAGACAGCTAGCTGTGGTTTCTACTGGTGATAACAGCAGAAATAACATTGGCCAACCCCCAGTTCTATGGGGCAAATACTACCAGCATGTGAAAAAAACTACTCGTACAGATTTGATAGTTTTGTTTCTCAACAGGTACTCAAACAACCTTGCTTTACAGAATATAAAAACTTAATTTGCAAAAGAGTTACATCGACTGACAAGGACCTGCAGCCAAACCTTAGGTCCTGATTTGAAGCACTGTTCCCCTCTATGTATTGAAAAACATGAACAGATTGTATTGACTTATAACCTTTGTGTGTACATACTTAAAATATATCTAAGCACATCTGACAGCCCATAGTTAGTTCTATCTCTCCCTAGTGCAGGGTCATTTATACTGCAACCACAGCAAGAAATCCAGCTTTCTGCAGGCAGTAAACAGCCAGGCATGATTGGACTTGTGATAATTCCATCTCAGCTGAAAAACCTGTTCTTGTAGTTTAAAGTAAAAACCCTCCCTGGCTCCAACACAGTTTGCTTTCTAGACCCGAGGATTTGCATAGACGGGCTATTTTTGTACAGGTCCTCCTGATAACAATGCCATGAGCAAGCAACACTACTGTCAAACTGCGTAACAAAACACACAAGAAAGGGGGCCTTTTCCTAATCTCCATCTGCCTGCTGTTGTTGGCTGATGAAAAGAAGCTGTTCTTCCTTGGCTCAGGAAAAACCACACAATGCTTCCACTATGGCTTTATCAGCCAGCAGAGGGAAGTGTAAAGCCAGTTCAATATTAAATCAATCCATTCTCCTAGGAAGCTCGGTTACACCACAGTTCTCACTGTGAAGAGCACAGCTTCTTTGATTAGGAGTTTGCTGTTTGGAGCACTCTTCTGCTGGCTCTGCACTTGTCCTCCTCCTCATAATCCAGCAAGCAAAACACACATTAACTTAATTTTGCACTCAGCTGACATAAAGTGCTTCCAGATGAAGTTCTTTATTCTGCAATTGCTCTGCTTTGGTGATGGAATTCTACAAGTCCTGACTATTTCCATCCCAGCTGTGTTCCCCACTCTTCCTTCCGTCTTTTTTAAAAATGCAGACCATCCCTTAAAGAAAAACAAAAATAGCTGCAGAAAATCTCTTAAAGAGAAAAAAGCAAAATAGTTGTACTGTATGGTGTCTTTTGGCGGCTCTAGAAGTCTTCCTGCTGCCAGGGTAAATTGAATTCCCCACTCATACTTGCTGAATTCTGTCAATCTGAAAAGGAGCTGTAAGATTTTTCCTGGGAGGTTGAAATCCTCCTTTTTAGTTTCCTCAATCCATTTTGAAAGTAAAGCCAAGAGAACCAGGTTGGTTAACAATTGAGATCATATTTGCAACTGGAGGAGAAGCTGCAAAAGACCTCTTCCCTTCAATTTCCTCACTACTCCAAAGGACCTGCTCCCACTGAGGCTTTGCAGTGGAGGAGGGCAGGCTAGCATGGCACTTCAGCTGGTACAGAATCAGAAGGAGCTGGACCTTTACGCTGGTATAACATGGGCATTTGGACAGCCCTTGGAGGAGTGATTTGCAATCATCAGAATTACTGCCAGGCAGGGAATGCTCTAGTGCAGTGTTTCTCAACCTTGGCAAATTTAGGATGTGTTGTCTTCAACTCCCAGAATTCTCCACAGCTTAAAGTTGTCAGGGTTGAGAAACACTGCTCTAGCGGAAACACCGCTGGCATCGACATCTTCCTAGGCATTTAAAAACATACAGATACTGGTTTACATTCCATACTATGCCATTATGCACTTTTATTGTTTTCATTTAGCAGATTTATGAACCCCGTGCTGTAGTTTGTAAACTATGAATCATGGTTAGTATACTAAGCAATTTCAATCAATGGCAGCTTATTCAGAAAACCATGGTGAAAAGCATGAAACAAGAAAGACAATCTTAACTTGCAGAAAGAATAAGAACAAAAATGAACTTTGCTTAGAATTATAAAAAGAATTTATGGATTGATATGTGTCCTTACTACTCAACAGAAATCTCCTCATGAAAACTTGGTGTACTGCCAACCTGACAGCTATCATATTTTCTCTGATTGATGTTCAGGATGAAAGATCACTTCATACCTGAACAAACATGATAAGGATCAACATATATTCTGGTTACTGAAAGAGCAAAGTCACCACTCCAGTGACTTTGAAATATGGCATGAATGAGGACTTGCTTGTTTTAGACAAAGGAGCATGTAAACATATAATCCCGCCCTTTTATAGGGAGCCCAGAGCATGCATGCATTCAGAATGAACATGCAAAGGGGAAGTGGGATTCCTCATGCTGACCCTCTGTCCTTTCATCCACCAAGTGAACCAAGACTACCCCAGAGGCAGGGAATCTGGCTTGCAGCCTGTTGCGACCAGCAGAGCCTCCAGCCCAAGGCCTTCCCTCTGTCTCCCCATCCAGGAGCAATTCACTTTTACAAAGGCACCAATGGAAGTTTTTTTAAAAAGCCTCACTGCTGCACTGGGAGGCATTCTTAAATGGTGGGCACATAGCTGGCATGGGAAAGAGCTAGCTTTTCTCTTTTTAAGTATTGATCTTAACCCAGATATCCCCCTCTGTAGTGAACAGACTTGGGAAAAAAGTTAACCTAAGCAAATGGAAGGGTTTCCCAAGGCCTGTCTGTACATGGGGTCGGTGGACCTCTGTATCTCTTACATCTGAGTGTGCTTGTGTACACATGTATTCATAAATAAAGTGTGGGTGTATGTTTTGTGAAGGAAAGGCTGTATGTTTGGGGTAAAAATGAGCATGTCTATGAATGAAAGGGCACAAATGTAAGGAAAGATAACATTTCTTTTGGGTCAGGCTTGACATGTGGTGACTTGATGAAGATATCAATGTATATTTCTTTGCAACAATAAAGAAGGAGTTTGCAACTGCTGCCTTCTTTTTTTTATTTTACTTCCCAGTTTAGCTTTTTTTTTTTTTTTTGGTGCCTTTGAATCAGTGTTGACCCCCAGTGACTGCCTGGACCCCTGCAGTTTTCTTGGTAATATTTTCTGAAGTGGTTTGCCCTGACCTCCTTCCTAAGGCTGAGGGAGAGTGGCTGGCCCAAGGTCACCCAGCTGGCTTTGTGCCTAAGGTAGGACTAGAACTCTGAGTCTCCTGGTTTCTAGCCTGATGCCTTAACGACTAAACCAAGCTGGCTCTCTGGCTCTCTCTCTTTTAAGCATATAGCCCTATCTAAATCTCCCATCTAAACTCTAGTCGGGACTGACCTTAGCTTTCGTGAGCTCTGCCAAGGTTGGCTAAGTGCTGCCCCTTGAATGGTTGTGCATTTTATATGTGGATTTTTATGAAAGCATGTGCGTTAATGTATATTCAGGAACTCAAGGTTGCATACATACATCCCTATTTTGCTCACAACAACCATGTGAGGTAAACTGGGCTGAGAGAAAGTGATGGCCCAAAGGCACCCAATGAGCTTTTGTGGCAGAGGGTGGACTAAAATGTGGGTCCCTCTTCTCCTCACCCAACATTTCTGGTAGCGGGCTGAAAATTGCAGCCATCAAAGAAAAAGAAGTGAATCAAAAAACATGTGAGATCTGATTGCAAAAAAGGTTACCTGACTCTGCTTTATATACTGTTACATTTTCTCAATTGTTAGGTCTGTGGCAAATCTTAAAATAGTGCAATCTGGTCTCTCCCACCCTAATAATTTCCATTTCTTTGGACTGTGTCACTCCAGCCAGCTTTGGACAACATGATTGGCAGCCAAGGATTGTGGAAGTTATAGAGTGCTAGACAGAGTGTGTTGCTTATTATTCCTTATAGTGCACTGCAAGAGGTAGTGATGTTCTCAGATGTAACATAAAGCAAAACAGTACAAGGGCTGTATCTCTGAATCTGGGAGACCCAATGAGGCCTTGATCCCCCCATTGTTTGGTCATTATATGAATTGATCTCTAATAGAAGATAATATCTGTAGTTCAAGGTTGAACTGTAGAGTCCTTGGTGCTCTCTGAGCTTGGTTGTTTGCTTGCAGACGTTTAATTACCTGCCTAGGTAACATCATCGGTGCCTGAGTAATGAAATGTCTGCAAGCAAGCAACCAAACTCAGAGAGCACCAAGGACTCCACAGAACTGACCTCTAGCAGGAGGGCCTGAAATTACCCTCAGAGTCAGTGATCCAGATGAAAGGGCCAAGGGATCTGAAGTGCAACAGCAATGGCTCCTAATGCAAAGGAAAGGGCCTTGCAGGTGCTAGGAAGAAGACTTCCCAAACAGAACTGATAGAAGTAGGTAGAGTCATGTCCCAGTTATCAAAAACCCTACAGAAACACAGATTTAGGTCACTTTAGGTAACCCAAGGATACTGTTGTGTGTACCTGAGAAAACAGAAAAAAGAGGAAAAGGGTTACAATATCAGCAGCCTATGGCTTCTATTTCTCTTGCTTGTTCAGTGAACTCTCTAAACTGCTGAGGCTGCATTATTAGTATTAACTCTGAAGAATTCATACTGTGATAGCTGTTGCACAAAGGGATTGCCAGTTGACTCAGTTCCGCTACCCATTTCTAAGGAGCTTCCAACTCACCTGGACATGGTACTGTGACGTTTCATGCATGATGACGTTTGAGTTGGAATATTTCTTCCTTTGTTCTGTGGGAGAAAAAAAATATAGGATGACAATCACTCCAGGACTTGGCTACCTTTTAGGCTTTTTTTTTTTTCTTTCAGGATTGGTGATTTATTATTGATGGTTTTATTTAATTGGTTAATAGAAGGTTTTATTGTTCTTTGCACTCTCGGTAGAATACCAACATTCTAGCATTTATGGATATTAATTAATTAAGGCCCAAACTAGGTATTTTCTTGGCAAACACACAGTCCCAATTGTTCATTACCCAGAAAGAGAGACCATCACTCAATGTCAAAGACAATCTTCTCTTGGCACTTTAAAGAGTTCTGAGACAGCCTCCCCGTACTTAGTGGTCACTAGCGATGTTAGGATGTAACTCCCACCTCCTCTCCTTCAAAATGTATTATCACACCACTCTGATAGCAGACACCCAGTATGGGAATACTGGTTGAGGAATTACAAGAATTGAAGTTCAAAGATCAGAGACTGTCTAATTAATGAATTTTTAAAAGTTCTATATGAAGTTTTTGGAGGAGAGGAGAGGAGAGGAGAGGAGAGGAGAGGAGAGGAGAGGCCCACACATCTGCAAGGCAAACATAGAAAACTGGGATTTGATTCCTGATCAAAAAGATTCTACTGGCCAATGCTGCATTTCAAAAACTCAAGATCAGCCATCTACAACTGTTCATTTATTTATTTTAAAAAGTTTAAAAACTGCCATTCATCCACATAATGTGAAAACTGATTAAATATTATATAACAATAAAATTACAAACTAAATAGCATTAAAAACATTTCAGTCAATCAATAAATCAACCAACCAGTTAATTTAAAAAAATTAAATTTAAAATACCTAGAGAAAAAGAAACATTGTGATTTAGTGTCATAAAAAAGCAAGGTCGGTGCTCATCCCATCTTCCTAGAAAGGGCCTTTCAAGGTTGGAGTGACATCACAAAGATGTATAACAGAAGTGCATTACATGCTTCTCAGTTATGATTTTGAGAATAGGACTGCCTCTGAAAAACTTAATAAATGGGCAGGATTATATGAGAAGTGCTTTTTCTGATATTTCAGCTCCAGTCCATTTTAGGACTTTACATGTTGAATTAGGTTTGTTAGTAATTAAGGAATCAAGATAATTTTTTAGAATGTCATGACATGACTGCAACTATGTGATTGGTTTATCTGCCAAACTCTGCATAACACCATTGCCTAGTCCCAACCCAGAGACCCAGTCCAGGAAGATGAAGATGATGATATCAAATTCTTCAAAGTTCCTTCAATCTCTCTTCAATGTACTTAGGTTCTTGTAACCTTGTAATCCCAAATCTTTCTCTGAATCTGTTCCAGTTCCTCCAAATTATTCTTAAAGTGTGGTGCCCAAAAGTGGAGATAACACCATACAAAATAAAATGGAACACTTAGGGCTCATCTGCATGTCCTGCTTACAGGAAGAGAAGTAAGGAAAGTGGCTTTTCAGCCACCATCGTGTGTAGGAAAGCAGGTCTTTTTGGTGCTGGGAGAACTTGTTCTGAAATGGTCCACTTCCTTTTCTTCTCTCCCCCAACTGATCCTGTTACCCATGGTGGCGGAAAAAGAGAGTTATAGTTGGAGGGGACAACAGTTCATTTATCATTCTTTTGCCAATCCCACGGAGTGATCTTTCAATGGGATTAGAGATCTGGCAGCCTTGTGGATCATTTGTTGCCAGTAACTGGCATCGAAGAAGGTATTTTCCATTCTGCTTCTCTTTTCCTTGGATAGAGACAGAATCCCCCACTCTGCTTCATGCCAAGACTCAGTAGGAGCTGAAAACACAGTCAGCAGTTTTCTGATACAGGTAGTCCTTGTTTAGCAACTGCAATTGGGACCAGAAGTTGGTTGTTACCCGAAGTGATCACTAAGTGAAAATCACATGACCGTGACTGTGCTTACGATTTTACTTCAGTTTTCTTTTGCTCCTTGCTCCTTCCTTCAGCTGAACTGAGGTTCTTTCTCTTTCTCTTTGAGGACATCTTGGTATGGGATAAATAAGCAAGTGAAAATGAGAGCAGAGAGATGCTGCGAAGGTTGTAAATATGAGGAGTGGTCGCTAAGTTGTTTTTTAGTAGCATTGTAACTGAATGGTCACTAAATGAGGCAGTCACTGAGGACTACCTGTAGACATCAGCGTTTAGTGCTGTTGTCCAGAAGATTCCTTTCTTCCTATAATATGAAAATTATACTTTTATTGATGCAGCCTAAAATGACAATTGCTTTTTTTATAGCCACATTATTCTGCTGACTCATACTCAGTTTCTAATCAACTACTATTCCAAAATCTTCTTCACTAGTACAATTATCATGTCAGGTATATAATTGTGCATTTGATATTTGTTTTCTAAATAAAAAACAGCATTTGCCTCTGCTAAATGTCATTCCATTATTTGTGCAGAAAGGGCGGTAGATGTGAAAAGGTTTTCTTAAGAAATTACTCACAGCTTCCTGCTGAAAAACAATCGGGTCTACTGCCTCTCTTGGGTCACTTTCACACTACTCTTGTTCCATTTTTTACTGTTTCAAAAGTAGTCTGACCAAAAATCACTTTCACTGCTGCTGATTTAAAATGTTGAGACTCAATGGTATCTTCTTCCAGCTGATCAATAACAGAGTGCAAACACTGGCACTGAAGCATTCTCTGTCTCCATGTTGAGTTCATGTTGTGTTAATTTTTCTGCTCAACAATCTGAGCAGCTGCAATGAGGGGAAGCTGCAAAGCCACCAAGCTCCTATCCCTTGGCTATATTAGAATGATCTGTGAAACACAGTGATAGAACAGTGACAGAAGCAAAAAAGAGCAGGAGAAATTCTCATTCTTTCTTAGGGTTTCCCTTCCCCAGCACAAATGAGGAAAAGTAAGGAATAGCAAATGTTGCTCCCATGGTTCCGAAGAGCCTTCTGCTTCTGCTTTCTTGCTTTCTCCAAAATACATCACAAATGGAAGCTCCAGGGGAAGAATAAGCATGTTCCTGGGCATCTTTCTTGCCACATGGACACACTAGTCTCTGACAAACTTTAAGAGATTCATGGATATCTGCATGAGAGATCTATTGGACCATGGATTATTATACAGACTTGCAAATAAGATGTTGTTTAGTCACCAGTGTTTAATAAGAGTCATCCAGATGACCTGACTGGAAAGATTTACAACATTCTTTTCTTCTCCAGCTATATCTGGCTGACACAGGCATCAGTAAGCTAGAAATAATTTACAATAATTTAATAATATAATAGTATGTATGAATTAATTTGATGGGTTATCATAATAGGTTAGAAAATAACAGTTTTTCAGTATATATTTTTAAGGTTTAAACACAAATTCTATGTTCTGTACAACCTAAACACATATAATGCAACTCAAAAAAAAAAAAGATGAAAAGCACAAGCAAGAATAAATTATTGCTAAGAGACCAAAGACAAATATACTATAAAAGAACCTCAGGGGAAGAATGCTACTGACATAAATAGGAAAGTTATGTACATCATAACATGGCAGCAGAAGGTCAAGGGAGTAAAAAGCTGGGATATTAGCACAACAGAAGACAAACAAAAAGAATATTTATACTCAGCAATTCCTCCTGGAGGGAATGATGTTTAAAAGAAATACTCTGCTTTTATAGAACAGCCAGATGGTTTCATGAAAGAGTTTAAGTCAGGGTGGCTGGATTCAGCCAATTAAATTGCCCCAAATCTTGACCTGAGTAACTCAGATGAAGACGCAAAGAACTATATACTAACTACATAACTGTAAACTAGCAAGACCTGAACTAATATTCTGAACATAAATATGGGAATAAGGATTGTAAAGTTTTTGCTCTTCAAAGGAAAAAATAAAAAATCTTATTTGAAGCAAGATCCCCAGACTCAGATCATTTATAAAGAAGTCTTTGAATTCCAATCTGTTGGTTTGTGGGAATATCCATTCAGGGAACTCTGACTATTGAAATGTTTATTATTGAAAATAAAAATAAAGACATAATTCATACAGAATTACAAACTGGAGAAATTCAAACTAAAACTATAAGGAGGTGAGCAGAGATTCCTTGATCTTTAATGGGCATGAAAGACCAACTTAAGTAACAAAGATGGGAGAAGAGGTTTCAGGGGTGAGGGGAAGCTTCAATTCACCCAAGACAGTACTGCATCTAGATCAATGTTTCTCAACCTTGACAACTTTAAGATGTGTAGACTTCAACACCCAGAATTTCCCAGCTAGTCATGGGGAATTCTGGGAATTGAAGTCTACACATCTTAAAGATGAGAAACACTGAGCTAGATATTTGTTTCCACTGGTTATAACTGAATAATGTAGTATGCAACTAGAAACATGGGAAGGAAATGACAGATACTCTCCTCTTTCCTACACATCATTGAAATAATAGCAAGTCAGACTATAGTAGTATTTGTGACACAAGAGTCCTATGCTTCTAGATCCAAGATAAGTCCATGAAGAGAAGTTAGTTAGAAGAGGCCTTCAGAACAGGACAAGGATCTATTGTCCATGTCCTGTTCTGAAAGGGGTTTTTATAAATTATACACTTGTGAGGTAGGGGATGGAGCGAATTCTCTTCACAAGGAATAAGCCAAGACCCTAAGGAAACGTCTGTTACAGTGATGTCCTTTGTTTCCTTCATTAACTGCAGGTCAATTTCTCTTTTCTGAGGTATCACAGGACACAATTTCTGGGGGAATCAGTCTATTCTGTCACACTATGTGCTACTGCTCAGCATAGAGGATGAAGAACTCCAAATGCCCCACCTTTCTATCTATTTGACAATCAAGGCAGCTTATAACAGTAAACCAAAACAGGAAATGTAAACAAAGCACCATTAATACAATTCAAATCCAGATAAAAATCAAGCATTAAAGTGCATTTATTAGCAGAAGGGATGTGTTTTTTGATCAGCTTCTACAATACAGGGAGAGGGGGCCCAAACCCTCTCTCTAGGGAGTGCATCCCACAACCTGGGAGCCATACTG